CACAATGTAGCTGCAGAATGGCTTTACCACGTAAATGTTTCCATATTGAGTTTTTTTTTATAAATTAATTATTTTTAATAACTGTTAGTTAAAACTTTTCATTTATATCGCCACCAGAAGACATCTAGCAAACGGACATAAAAATTAAATTAAACAAAGAAACATACAAACAACCAGAATTCCTGTTATATTGTTCAGTACAGTTTTGGAATAGGAATACTGGACTACGCAATGATAATTTCGTCAATTTTTCATAGCTATCATTACTACATCGAAGTTATCTCTCTCGGTTACCTAGCTCTATCAACAAACTTCGTTATTTCAGGCTTGTTACAAGATAAATCTTAATTTTTGGAAAGTCATAACAACCGACAAAAAAATAATTTTCATTTTTTATCATCTATGTTCAATACTATACAACAAAATCAGCATTTTGTCAATTGACACCCGTTATACCGTTACCATTACGTCATGTTAAAATCCACTGCTGAACATAAGTCTCCTTCATAGATCAGCTCATAGGCAGGATATTTGCCATAGTGGTCACGCTTGGCAAGCGGGTTGGCAGGAAGACGCTTCTACCCATCTCCTGATTTGTTTCCCCCTGTCGCTTGTTATGACACCCACGGGAATTGACAACATTATACACACATTATGTACTCAATGCTATTACAAAATCAGCATCATATTAATTGTTATACGTTTATGTAGGAGCCGTGCGGTGGTATAAGAGGCGACAATGGAAAATGCATAAACAGTAGGAGAGATTCTCCGCAAATATCACGTAAATTTTTCAGCAAGAAACAGTGTTAAATTTCAAGAAAATTGTATTAATTTAAAATTAAGAAAAATATAAGCCATATTTTTCTACAATAATATTTATCGTGGTTATGCGAACCCCACAAATTATATCTATAGAAATAATTAAGCAAATTATGTTTTTTTTAATTAATCAACGCAATCAAGAACAGATTAACAAAATATACATTTTCGAAAATCTCACGTGAGATTTAGGGGGAGGACAAGAGGGTACAATTGAGCCATGTCTCACGGCATCTCATCAGGTCATCAGGGGGAGGGGAGGGTAGAAAAATCGCCAAAATCGCCTCAGATAATATATGGATGCCCCCTATTTTAAAATCTTTATCAGTGGATCAAAGATTTAAAAGATACGTTAGTTTTACATCCACGTACGAGGATAACAAAACCGTTATCAGTCCTCGTAACGTAACATCAACTTATACAGAAGCGTGTAATTTAACACAAAGCGGAAAGCGAGGAGAGCAGTGTAACGTCGAAGTGGACCGGAGGAGCCGGGCTCTCGCCGTCACTCACACTCAAATATAATGGTTTATGAAGAATGCTTCCGTTGCATTCTCATTCCGTACTTGCAAATTATAACGTACGGAGTTTTATCAATACATAGATGCTTTAAGGTTTAAGCGGAAGTGACGAAAACAACGTTGAACTGTACTGGAAAATAGCTTACGCGCGTATGCGTGTCTAAATATACTGTTGAGGTGCGTAAACAATCGCTCGGTACGCGAGTTCTAAATACGAATATTACTACTATGAGTTAATTAAATATAAACATGGGCTTATTTTTTATCAACCGAAGCTAAGTGAACCGTGATTAAATATACATACATACTATTATGATAATGAAATTTAATTTGACACATACCTACACTTGATTTTCTACTTTAAATTAAATTAATAAAAACAGAAATTAGTTAACGGGGTGCAGTTCACAAGGTCTACGGAAGTTGCGACAGTCATCAACTCCGTATCTCATATTATTTTTTGAAAATGAAAACTACACTCACATAGTGAGAACATTAATTAGATCTATAAAGAAAAACAGCGTAAATAAACATACAGCTGACGCAAAATACCAACGTAATCTGTCTATGATCAATGCTAGACGTCCCTGCCATTACATCAGATTTGAAAGACCACAACCCCTCACGAAAGAACATTGATTTTCTTAACAAAGATGATGCGTGGGGTTATAGCGATAAAAAAAAAATATATATATATATGTATATATAAGGCTGCTCAGTACCAACACTTACTTGGGATCCTGCAATTAATAAAATTAAATCCAATCGCAAGTATACCACTGCAAGACGTCAAGATACAGTAAGAAAAAAAATTATGACTTAATTGCATGTAATTAAGCCCCCTTTAGCTCAATAAAAGGAGGTTGTTCCAATAATACTGACAGGTGTTTTAATTTTATTTAAATGTATACACATTAAAATAAAATTAAAATATAAGGAGCCGTGGTAGCTCAGATGGATAGCGCTCGCTGTTAATTTCACAATACGCGAGCAAACCGGGTTCGATCCCCGCCGGCACCAATGAAATTGTTAATTGCAATTTTAAGTGCTGATTTACCACGTGCTCGGCGGTGAAGGAAAACATGGTGAGGAAACCTGCATGTCTGAGAAATAAGAAAAAAAATATTTCGAAGACATGTGAAGTTCGCCAACACGCATTGGGGCAGCGCGGCGGAATATTCCTTGCCCTAAAACCTTCTCAGAAATGAGAGGAGGCCTATGCCCAGCCCAACCAGTGGGACGTATATAAGCTGTAACTTTCACTTATTAACTTTTAACATTGAAAACCTGAAATTCGCAGTACAACATATTTAAATAAAAATTATAGTAAATTGAATTTTTTTTTCATTAATTATTTACGTGTCATTTATATAGTGTCATCTCATCACATTCATATATTAGTAACATCAAACAACATTTTCAATCCTGTCTTTTTTTTTTGCAGGGAAATGTATATTGTGGCCCAGAAAAGCATTCATCATTAATCAGGAACCCCTGAGAGCTAATAACATGCCTCAATTTCAATTAAAAGAATTTGCGGGTATGTACACTCACCATAAAAATCACAGCAGCATTAAGCTATTCCATTAGAATGTAGTCCTCCCCGGTCGAGTTGAAACTATTGTTATAAGCAATTTATAGCTGCAACTGCTTCCTCCATTCTTATAAAGGCCTATACAAGGGGTTTGACCAATCACACATTTCCTAAGATTTGATACCATACTCACCATAGAATACTATAATACAGAATAGAATGGCTGTCAACCTTATTTTGTACGAGGTTCGGCGTCACCGGGAGCACACATACATGCAATTACGTCATATTATCACTACTACAAACCCGATTCGCTGTGTGACAGACTGAGTAAATTTACACATTTTAGATTTTTGATTAATGATCAAGATGATCATTAAAAATATCGATTAAATTTTATTTGTATCATTATTATATTTATTTGTAAATAGTGTGCAATTTGTCATTTTCTAAATAATTTGCATGCAAAATTTGGAAATGGTAGTAATGTCAAAACACATCTTGTGTTGACATTTATACGTGTGAATTGACATGTGAGTGACATTTGAGTGGCTACACGGGCTCCGCCCACTCTTCTGTTCTATTATGTTTGTATTATAGTATTCTATGATACTCACCATACTGGCATTTTTAAATAATCATTCCACCATGTTTTTCCTCGCAAGGACTGATGGGCTGTGATGCAATTAAGCTTAGTCCTCAAGGGTGCTAACTGCACCTGTAGCCATACTGACTGGCTGCACTACACTTATCATCAGGTGGGCTATTATTTTATTTCTATATCGTGTTGTTTAATACTATAAAAATTACTGCATAAAATTGAATTTATTTGAAACGGAACTTGATTCATACTACTTTTTATAATTTGCACTGGACACAATAATTTTTTTAACCTAGGTATTTAAAGTTTGAACACTTGCTATAAATAAATTTGTAATTAAAAAATCTATTCAAACATATTATCTTTTTCTTGATACAAGATCTTCAAAGAAAGTACCTAAACTTTAGATATTTTATTGCACTACAAAACTTAACAAAACACATATTTAGTACTTAGATTTGAATTATATTTATTTCTTTACTGACATATATAGGTAAAGAAAAGTTACAGCCTATATACGTCCCACTGCTGGGCACAGGTCTCCCCTCATTTCTGAGAGGGTTTTAGGGCAAAGAAGTGTCCACCACGCTGCCCCAATACATGTTGGTGAACTTCACTTCTTCAAATTATTTTGTTTCCTTATTCCTCAGACATGCAGGTTTCCTCATGATGTTTTCCTTCACCGCTGAGCATGTGGTAAATCAGCACTTAAAATTGCAATTAACAATTTCATTGGTGCCGGCGGGGATCGAACCTGAGTTACTCGCATTCTGTTATATATACAGCGAGCATTAACCATCTAAGCTACCATGGCTCACACATATATAGGTACTTAAAGTCAATTCTGAAACGAATGTAAGGGAATCCACTGTCACTTCCTCTCATGGGTGCCGCAAGAGACGATAGACAGAAACAAATCAGGATATGGACAGCAGTGCCTCGCTAATAAATATAAAAAAATAATGATTGCCAACCCGCCAGCCAAGCGTGGCGGCTATAGCAAATATCTGCCTTAAAAGGCAATCTAGGAGGTGGATCTAAGTTCAGCTATGACCTTATGATGGATTGTAATAAGTTAATGAATGAATGAATGAATACTGACAATAATATGTATATAAAAAAAAACATAATGAAATTACTCTAATAGATAAACTACCATTCTCTACTAAAAAAGAAAACAATAACATTACAAACCTAGCCATTTTATGGAGAATTTTGAAAAAAAAAACAATTTTAAAATAAAAGTAATGTTATTCGTCTTAGAAACATAATAATACTAAAAATCAGATCATAAAACCATTTAAAACACAACGTAGATGCAAACAATTTGAAACCAAAACAAACACTGATGACATGGTAAACGACAACATTGTTTTAGTAACATACGAACTTTATACATGTACGCCGAACTAAGTAAATTCAAAAGTAAATACGTTTACATATTATATAAGTATTAAAAATTATGGCAAATCAATTACAGAATATCCTACTTATAAATTGATAATTTGGTATTTGTACTTACCAACTCTTGATCGGGTGACAAGGCCACCGCCATTTTTATGAATATTCACAGACTACCAGTGTGACCATCTTCAAAATACGGATCCTGCCTTACTTTTGTTAAAAACCTGCCAAAACTTGCCAAAGTCTCCAGCAAAACTAGCCTGAATACTGCCAACTTTATTTACCATGGTATTAAACTAAGAAAAGTAGAAATACACATTTAAATGCTATATTTACATTTAATTAAAATTAAACATTGCAGTTACCATCATATTCTTCATTCATTTTTATACATAGATTTATTCATTCGATTTAACATACCTTTCGTTGGTTTGAACGCAAAGCAATCGTCAAGCTCACTATAATATTATAATACCTTATTCAACGTGCGAGATAGACACCTATTTATAAATACGATTCTATTATTGTCTTAATTAAATTTATTCGAGAGAATATCCTTTCGCATGCAGCGAAGGACAGGTTTAGCATCTGATCGGAATAATAGACTGAAAATGACTTTTATTGACAGAACTTAGCGATCGCAGCGCCTCACTTATGGTGTCCGTATTTCTGGGATACTATTTTCTACGGCGATCGTTCTCCTTCTCTAACCTTCATGATATACAGAGGTTCCGAAAGTTTTTAAAAGTATCGATACCAACTATCGAATAAAAAGTAACGATACCGATAAAAGTATCGATACTACTTAGTACTCGACACCTTTCTAATATTAGAAATCACAAGAAAATACACAATAATGATCCAATTTTATATTCATCATCATCATCATTACAGCTCTTCACAAGGTCACTGCCTCCTGAACATAGGCCTCCCCAAAGTTACAGAACTCCAGACTCAAAATTTGAAATATTTATAAAAACATTGCAAATAAATATATTCATATAAAAATTTTATTTTATACAAATTTAAAAAAAATGATTTTTTAAAACTTTATAAATGAAAATTCATATAAAATGTTAAAAACTATTTTATAAATGATTTACCGCCTCAAACTTAATTTTCATTATATAAATATTTGTATGTTATAGAAACAGGAAAAGGCTGATAAAATATTAAAAAAGCCTAATGGAACAATGAAAAAGGGTAGCAGGAAATGGATAGAAGAACTTTCTCGCTCCGGAGACAGTAGCAGTTCTGGTGAAGAAAATACTAATTCCTAAAGCGAAACTAGTAGCGATAAACACGGCAATAACTATACTTTTTTGTCTATACTTAATTTTTAAATAATATATACAGTCAAGTAATACAACAGAGTACGATTATTGCTAATAAATTTTATTGCTAATTATGTTGACTGCTAACGAAAGATACTAGGTAATAAAAATATTTTTTATAGATTCCAGTTTTAGTATGATGCAAATAATAAGTTATTAAAAAAAGATTAAATTTATTCTCGTAGGTATTGTGATCAACCCTATACCAATGGTATTACACCCAAATTAGAAAATGTAAATTGCAAAAATTAATTTGGGTTATCTGGTAAATTTTAATGCGACATCAAGATGGAACAGTACATTTAGAGACTATTATAACATTCCTAATACATTCTCAAGGATTCTTATTAAAAAATATTTTTTTATTTGGTGAAATACATATGGATAACTATACAACAGATAAAATTTATTCGCAAATACTGTTTTCACACGATATGTTAATGTAGAAAATGTATCGGGATCAAGCCCATATGATTTAATTGTTTTCTGATTTGGATTACCTGATTAACTTTACTGTAATACTTAAATGGAACAACGCATTTAAATGCTATCCACATATTGCTGTAACTTTCTCATAAATTATTATAAGCGGTATTGTTTTCGATTTAGGAAAATAAATATAAAAAATGTATTTGGATCATTCAATCTGATCGTTTTCGGCTAAGAATTACATTAAAAAAATTTAAATGTTATGGTTTTTAATCTTTATTAAAAGACTAACCAGATATTGCTAGTATGTTCTAATAGATTCTTATAAACTGCGTTATGACTGCTATATAATATAACTGCGTTATAATATGCTGCGAACTAAAACAACTTTATCCGCAATTATTGTTTTAAGCTGTACTCGAATAAAAAATTTGTATTTCGATCAACTTCATATATTATATCACATATCTTGTGAGTTGGATAATCTGATAAATTATTTAATTGATGAATTGTCATAAAAACTATAATGAACTCATCAGTAATATTTTTATCAAAACTATATGTCCGAATTGCTGATCCTTTATTTTGCTTTTCTCACCATTTTTCTGATTATAATTCATAATCCCATGAAAACTATACAAAAACATGTGTTATTTACTAATACAATCTCATTTAATGAATCGGTAAATTGTAGTATCGCAATTCTCATAATTAATTGGGAATACTAATATAATTTGATTTCGTTCCCCTATCACATAAAGTCCATTGAATCCATTTTTTTTAATCTGTAAGTATTCGGAATTGCCGTTTCAAAATCAACATAACGACGAATGAAACACATTTAAATCCAAATATTTTTCGTTACTATTCTATTATATTCATTCATCAAAATTGTGAGATTGCTACTAAAAGTATAAAATGTAAGTTGTAATGTGTGTAAATATGTAAATTTTTTAATGTGTGTTTACCTGGTTACACGTGTATTATTTAAACTACAACAGGGTTCGAGAATCGAGAGGAACGACGCTATAAATCGGAAAAGGGCTTTGACTAGAGAAGAAAGAAAGGACATGACATACCTACGAAAAAAACGTGTATACCTAAACTGAGTCTGGCACAAAAATGGCGGCTTGACGTAGTGCTGCGCACTATACTTAATATCGATAATGTGGCGCTTATTTAGAAAAAGATTCTGTCGTGTGATTCGTTTCAAACACCCGTGTGTTCTTAAATAGGTTTTTTTTTAAATCAATATGACGGATTTTTGACGCTAAATTGTAGGTCCTTAATTTTTTTTACTCAACCTATCGATAGGGGTATTAAAATAAAGGAAATTAAAAGGAGATTACTGAAATATATTACAAGTTATACCTATGTTTTCAGTTCATTACGTGTAAGCAGTCATTTTTTTGTTTTTATAATGTAATTATCTATTATTAATGTTACAATCATTTCCCAGGAATTACTAAACTAGAAATACTAATTTAAAAAAAATGTTTGTTTGTTTGTTAGACAATAAATTAGGCTCAGTCATCATTCTCACACTAATCAAACTATAGTAAATGCAAAAGTTTGAATGTTTGTTTGTTCCTCAATCACGCCAAAAGTATCAGACTAGTTTGAATGTAATAATTTGGCACAAAAATAGTTTATTATCTGAATTAACATATAGGATACTTTTTATCCCAATTTAGAGGTCCCGAGGAATAGCATAAGAAATTTCGTAATAATCGAATTCCACGAGAGAAACATATGAAAATAATACACTCACCTCACTAAAGTCGCAATGACAACTGATATAGTTGTCTTTGACTGCGACATAACATGGCGCCCGGCCGCAGCGAAAAAAATGTTGCCATATTCGGTAATGATAAAACTAATGTTGTCCTTTTTTACATACGAATATACTCATAAGATAAAAAGAGACGCCCATTTTTCATTACGTTCCTACAACTAACGATATTTATGTCATGTCCTTTCTTTTTTCTTTAGTCAAAGGAAAAGGGAGTAGTGTCTATGAACTTTTATCTGATAGTTCATTGATGAGACAAAAGTATATAGAGATATCGAGTACCTAAGAAAGTATCGATGCTTAGTGAAATACCTACTCTATTAAAGGTATATCGAGTATAAAAATAATAGGTATCGAACCACAAACTAACTAGACATATCGAACTAAAAGTATCGATACTACTCAGGTACTCGATATCGATACTTTCGATGATCCGTAGCAACCGTAGCATAGTCATTAAGTCAGTAATCTCTAGTCTTTGAGCATAGAATAATTTCAATCTATGCCAAAGTACTCTAGTGATATATACAGTAATCTATGAGTAGTAATCCGTAGATTCCGTAGTTGTATGTTGTGTTGTTTTCATTGATAATGTTATTATTAACGTAATAGTTTTATCGCAAGGAGAATATAATCACTTCGTTCTAGTATGTGGCTGTATACAATTTGTAATATCATTTAAGGTTAGGTTGTTTTATATTTTTTTCTAACTTATTATTAAAGTACCTATTTGGCATTATATAATACTTTATTAGTTTTGTTATGTTTTACAAACTAATCACAATTTTATATAGATATGAATGTAACTAACATTCATATCAACGTATTGGTGGTATTGCGCAGTTTACGAAAACGAAGCGGTTATATATTCTCCCATTTACATACTACATTATTTAATAGCATCAGTATTATATTTATTATTTTTCTTCCGAGCATACAGGTTAAAACCGAAAACAGACAGCTGCATTGGCACATTTTTATCACTAGGGTAATAGAGAGATCCAGACGCTGCAATAAGTGAACAATGTCTTCACGCTGGTCAATATCTAATTCTTTTCATAAAACCAACATTTTAAAAATATATTTTATAATTAAAAATTATAACTTTTTCTCATTAGGTATCCTATATATCAAAGGGGAAATCCTCAATTACGAGTATTTTTACCAAATTTTTGGATGAAAATGGTGCGACCTCACCCAAAACAGCTACCCAATATTGTACATTTTGAATGTTCAATGGAGATGACAAAGTATGATATAAAAAATTACTTAGAAAAAATCTACAACATTCCTGTTGTTGATGTAAGAACTAAAATAACATTAGGAAGGTTCCGCAAAGATTATGGCAAGGGATATGTTGTAAAAGATGATGATGTTAAATGTGCATACATTGTTTTGGTAAGTACAAGACATATTTTATCTAAACTTTAGAAGTACTTACTTACTTACTTATCTTCGCGCACAATCCCTAACGGGGTAGCCAGAGAGAACAGATCGCCAAGTGTCACGATCCTTACATACCTCTTTGGCTTCTTTCAGGTTCATTAACTTCTTCATACATGTACGTCTAGGTATCCGAGTACTCTTGACCCTTCTTCGAGCAATTTGCTCACATGGTCTTCGAAAGTTAGTCTCGGTCTACCTCGACACCTTTTAATATTTACTTTCGCTCTATATATTTTCTTCACCATTCGGTCTTCACTCATTCGTTCAACGTGCCCAAACCATTGGAGTACACCCCTATCAATTTTTGTGATAAGGTCATCTTTCAATCCTGCCATATTGCGAATCTCTTCGTTTCGCTTTCGGTCGGCTATGGTAACGCCGCACATTTTACGAAGAGATCGCATCTCCACTGCATTTTACTTGCTTTTATGCTTCTTCTGGCATACCCAGGTTTCGCTGCCATATAACAAAGTCGGTACCAACACTGCGTTATGTATTGCAAGGCGTGCACTCTTCACCACGCCTTGCCTTTTGACTAATGCATTCAGGGCACCATTGACTTTGTTTCCGGCAGCGACACGGCTATCCACATCTAAATCGTATCTTCCTCCTGGCTGAAAGCACGCAGCAATTTCGTTTACCTGTTCTAGACATTCCTGATTTACCCATATTTCACATTTCGTTCTCTCTTCGTCCTTTTCAAATACCAAAACCTTTAAAACTAGCTAAGTATTTTCTGAAGTAGTAAAATTAGGATCTTAGCTTAACAAGAAAGTCATTACTTTCTTGTTAAGCTAAGATCCTAATTTTTTTAACAGAAATTATATGGTATGTTTAGTTAAGTATTGAATAATATGAGTCTAGAAAAGATATAAAAACAAAATAGCTGTAATTTATATGTTAACTTTGTGTATTTTTCATGTAGTGGTGGTGTAAGAATATACGACAGTGAAACAAATCAGATGGGCAGCAGTGTCTTCCTAATAATAACTAAAAATAAAAAACTGCATTTGCCAACCCGCTTGCCAAGTGTGGCAACTATCACTAGTATCTCCCCTATGAGGCAAACTTAGGGCTATTTTCAGCAGTGAACTTTTGATATGCTGTGATGTGAATGTATCTAGTAGAATAGGCAGTGGTCTTCCTTAAAATCCACTTGAAATATAGAATATAGGATGAAATTAAGAAAAGAAACTGTTTTTTTTTTTCATATGTAGGACAGGTCCTAGATAGCAATGCAGCATGCAATGCATAGGTGCATGCATGACAGATCCTCATGTTACATCTTCATTCATTTCTATAGCATTTCTGGACAGCCTAAATAACAGTGAAGGAGGTCTCTTAGTGCTTGTCAAATTATTGTTTCTCAAAATTTTTGTAACACTGTCCAAGGCAGATTTATTTTACTTGTACTTTTGCTGTGCAGCATAGAACAAAATTTTGCTTTAAGAAATATTACTCTTATCTATTTATGGTTTTCTTTTTATGTTCCACAATTCAGGAAAATCTTTATACATAGATATTAACAACAATATGAAATCTTTATTATTTTTAGAATGTGTATCATATCCCCTTGTGGTGCTAGGGGTGTCTTGCAGTGCATCAGTGAAGCCCTTTTGTAATAAACGAAGTTGTATATCGTAGTTAATAGTTAATGATAGTTTAATGAAAAAAAAAAAGAATAGTTGATCAACCATCAGCATGTAGTTCACACACACACACGACACACATTTTACACGTTCCTCTCCCATAACTGCTCACACACATTACACTCATAACACAATTACTTCTTACAGTCATACATTACACATCTTATGAGAGAGGAACGGCATTAGTAGTATAAATTATTATTTTGTTTGTACCTTGGTATTAGTAATTAGTGGTAACATAGTATATAAACATAATATGTGATACAATTAATTTCATTGTACTTAGGTTATATTAGCGGAATGTACAAATTTTTAGATAGTATTTGATTATTTAACTTTTGCTTGCATCCTAATATTTCTATAAATTAACGGTGGGGATATGGCGCTGACAGCTGATGCACAGGTCTCCTAGTTCGGCAGCAGATGCTATGTTTTCAAGTATATGTACTAATGTAGCTTTATTAAATAATATTATGCAAATATCGTGATGTACAACCTCTTGGAAATAAAGAACTTATTATTGTTATTACATTTCATTTGCATCAATCAATACCATTAAATGATCATGCATGCATAACTGTACTTTAAGTCATGCCAAATGACTGTCTAGTCTATGACAGCAATCTTAATTTGCAGGATCAAAATTAAATGAATTATCATCCATCTCTCACCACTTAATTTGCATTTCATTTGCATCAATGAATACAATTAAATGATCATGCATGCATAACAGTACTTTAAGCATGTCATGCCAAATGACTGTCTAGTCTATGACTGTCTCTCGATCTTAATTTGCAAGACCAAAAATTAAATGAATTATCATTAATCTCCCACCACTTAGTTCGAATTTCATTTGCATCAGTCAATACTATTGAGGGCTAATATTGTACCGCTCACCAGATGTTTCTATTTGGAACTGAGGTGAAGTTATTTGTACATAGCGTCACCATGAGTGAAAAGTTGCAATTCAAATAGAGGTATTTTATTTCTAGTATATATACACAAAACAATGCTTCGAGGATTATTCTTTAAATTTTTGTACATTTTTAACTCTCTTGTTAATTTGTTGTACTTTAAAAATTCCCACCATAAAATCTGTTAAATATTTTACCCCATTCCGAAGTGCTGTCTCTCTGGTGGCAGAAAAAGTTGTGGATGCCTTTGTTCGCTTGTAAATAATCATGCATACATGAAGACACCTAAAGCATATCATCCCACATTAATATCTAGTAGGGCCAACATTACAAAAGGATACACTATTTATTTTTTGGTTTTCTTTAGTATTTTAATGTCAAGAAATAAATAAAAATTTATTTTTTAATCAAAAAATTTAAAGTAAGAGGCTTTTCAAGTCTACAACTAAAGACAACACAAATAAATAACATACCATCAAAATAATTAGTATAACTAATTTAATTTTTTTTTTTTGGATGGAATCACATAAAATATTCACAAATGGAGAAAACACGAGGGTCGATCGAGTAGTCGGTCAAAGAATGTTAATATCACATTGGTAGTACTTAAGACTAGTTCGTCTTCCTTCTGGAACCCGTGCATTCTGGTCTCTCGCCAAGGCTGTCCAAGGGAATTTCTGTCAGCCATCTCTTCCATCTCTGCACAGGGAGGACGACTCACTGGCCCACACCGCAAAGGAGAAAGCCGATCTTCTAGGCTCTTTCTTTGCGTCTAACTCGACTCTCGATGACGGGGGGAGTACGCCGCCGACCATCCCGCGGTGTGAGTGCTCCATGCCGGAAGTGCAGTTCACTCAGCGCTCGGTTCGCAAAGCACTCCTCTCCCTGGATATCCATAAGTCGAGTGGGCCTGATGGAATCCCCCCAATTGTGCTGAGGACGTGTGCTCCAGAGTTGGCACCGGTTTTAACGCGTCTTTTCCGGTACTCCTACTCCCTAGGCGTAGTCCCAAAATCATGGAAGACGGCTTTCGTCCACCCGATCCCTAAAAAAAGGCGACCGCTCAGACCCGTCCAACTACCGGCCTATCGCCATCACCTCCTTGTTCTCCAAAACAATGGAGTCCATTGTAAACTGCCAGCTCATGAGGTACCTTGAGGATCACCAGCTGATTAGTGACCGCCAATACGGTTTTCGCCGTGGTAGGTCAGCTGGTGATCTTCTGGTCTACCTAACTCACAGATGGGCGGAGGCAGTAGAGTCCAAGGGGGAGGCATTGGCCGTTAGTTTGGACATTGCGAAGGCCTTCGATCGGGTTTGGCACAAAGCGCTTCTTTCGAAGCTCCCTTCCTATGGGCTTCCCGAGAAATTGTGCGATTGGATCACCAGTTTTCTTGCAGATCGGAGCATCAAGGTCGTTGTAGACGGTGCAAGCTCCGATTGCAAGCTTATTAATGCTGGTGTTCCACAGGGCTGCGTGCTATCGCCAACGCTGTTTCTTCTGCATATCAATGATATGTTGCAAACCCGTAGCATTCATTGCTATGCAGATGACAGCACTGGTGATGCTCTTTACACCGGCCGAGCCAATATTTCTCGGGAAAACGTCTCTGAGTGCCGGGACAAACTTGTGTCTGAAGTCGAGTCTCTGCTGGACAGAGTCTCGGATTGGGGGCGACTAAATCTAGTCCAGTTTAACCCCCAGAAGACACAAGTTTGCGCGTTAACCGCTAAAAAGAACCCCTTTGTCGTATCCCCTCAGTTTCAAGGCACTCCCCTTGTTGCCTCAGCCAGTATCGGAATCCTCGGCGTCGACATATCGAGTGACGTGCAGTTTCGTGGTCACTTGGAAGGGAAGGCCAAATTGGCCTCTAAAAAGCTTGGCGTGCTCAGCAGAGCGGGACAGTATTTCATGCCGGCACACCGCCTGCAACTTTACAAGGCGCAGGTTCGGCCGCTCATGGAATACTGTTCCCATCTCTGGGCTGGGGCTCCCCAGTACCAGCTCCTTCCACTTGACCGCATCCAGCGCAGAGCGGCTCGAATCGTTGACGACCGAGTGCTTTCCGATCGGCTCGATTCACTGGCGCTGCGAAGAGATGTTGCATCTCTTTGCGTATTTTATCGCATCTATCACGGGGAGTGCTCTGAGGAATTGTTCGGATTAATCCCAGCCGCCAAATTTCGTGAACGCACTACACGGCAAACGTCCCGATACCATCCACACCATCTGGATGCTTGGCGGTCCACCACTGTACGTTTCAAAAGGAGTTTTCTTCCGCGTACAACCTCTCTGTGGAATAATTTACCACCGGTGATTTTTCCGGACCGATACGACCTGGGGACCTTCAAGAAAAGAGCTTACTCCTTTCTAAAGGGCCGGCAACGCACCTGCAATTCCCCTGGTGTTGCGGTTGATCATGGGCGGCGGTAGTCACTTAACATCAGGTGAGCCACATGCTCGTTTGCCCCCTCTTCTATAAAAAAAAAAAAAAAAAAAAAAAAAAAGACACGAGTACTTGAAGAATGCATTAGTAATCAGTAAACCCTCCTTCAATTAGTCGATTGTTCTGAGCATTCTTTATCTCTAAGATATTTTGAAATATATTATGCTCAAAGTATTTATTTTAGTATTTCAACAAAATAAAATATCTTCTCAAATTTTTTGACATTTGTTAAATTGTTAATAAGATAATTTAAATGCATATTTCAGCCCAAGGATATGACATTCAAATTCCCCGAAATCTTTGATTGTAAAAAAAATGATGAAGAGGAAAATATGAAATCATTAGATGAAGCTAAGAAAAGCTTTAGTGAATACTTAGAAAAAAATAAAGACAGAACTGATGTTCCAAGTTGGTTTTCTATTTAGATTTTACATCATCGGCATTAAGTAGTGAGATTTAATAATTGTGTATTAATAATTAGATAAATAAAGTTACTATTTCAATGGTTTTTTATTTGGTAATCTAGTAGAATGGCCTTACTAAGTTATTTTAATAAATGATAGTATATTTATTTATAGAATAAGGGTGACGATTGAGAACACAGTCCACCTGAGGTAAGTGGAAGCTGTGACCCATAGACATCAACATTTATCCTCGATTAAGAATCAAAATGCAAATGCATCGTCACCACAGGACTAAGATAAAATGCCTCGTTTCCAGTAAAAAAGGATCTCTGAGTCTCTACACTCACAATACGAAACAACAGCCTTTAGCTGCTATTTTACACTGGTATTCTGAGTGTGGTCCTACCCCGGTTAAGCAGACACATTTGTTCTACAACTAATATAGCTGCAGTGTGGCTTTACCATGTAAATGTAACATGATAGAGCCGCACTGCAGCTATATTACTTGTAGAATATAAAAAATTAGTTAAATAGCAATATTAGTTTTATTAAACTACCAAAATTAAATGGGATTTTGTGTTGATAAAATGTCAATAATGTGGATCCATCACATTGGTTTGGATGGTAAAAGCATGGAGACTTAATGAAAATTGAATAGAGTCAAGCATAATAATGCAAAAAACATTTGGATCCAAATAGACTGATAAAAAGTTCTAAATAAGAATACAAAATAGACGCAAGCACAGGATCTCCTAAGATGGTAGCAATTAACTTGAAACAATTTCAAGAAACATATGACTCTAATAAATTTACTTTTTAAGTACTAAAGACTAGGTAGACATGATCTTGAAAACATGTATGTAACAAATTCTCTACAGAACAACATAATTATTACATGGTACTACTATGTATAAGCACTATACACTAGGTGTTTAATGAAAGTAAAGCCAATTAAAACAACAGAAAGAAAATCACCAAAATGTTTAATTTGAAACTTAAAAGAACAAAGCTGTATATTCTAAAATCAAGAAAAAAAATTAACAATAATAATAAAACAATAAAATAAACTACATCTATTAGTAGAACAATAGATATTTTTGTCACAAAAACTCTAATGTTTCTATATAATTTATTTTGTTGTTTTAACTTAATTCTTAAGTCTTAAAAATTTCAATGGCAACTGCAATCTATGCTTCTTAATTGCTAATTAGTAGTACTTACACATGTATGTATAAACTTTTGAAATATTGAGATCATTCATGTTAAATATAAATGCTTTTAATATTACTTAAACAACAACAATCTTATTGAATGTTAACAAAAATAGTTCAATGAAATAGATTGTTACAACAACTATTTGGTAAGAGGTAATACTATATAATAATAAAATGTTTATTAAGTTTAGTCACTTGTAAAATATTCATCTAGAAATATAGATGAATGGCAGCGTGGACATTCTGTTATATCCAACAAGAAAGTGACCTGCAACCAACACAAAAATGGAATACAAACTGAATTAAAAAATTATGCAAATTTAAAGAAAAAAAAAATTAATATAATTTTGATAATTCAGCATAAACTGCAGGATTACTTTGCTACATGGAAAATGTAGTGTCATTAAATATTGGATAACTCTAGATAGTTCCAACAAATAAATTATATTAGTTTCAAATGTTAATATGAACTACTTACTCTAGGATGTAGCTCGCATTTTAAACGAATACGACCATGACAATAATAACCACATGCGCGACAAAATACCATAGTTTTGTTCCTATGACAAGAACACTTCGTGTTATACGCATTATTTATTAAGGGAACGCCACGACCAACCCTCTTTGAAGGTTTGGAAATTTTGCCTGCTGCGGCAGCGACTACTGGAGTAGGTGACGCTTCCATCGTTATGTTTTTATGAATTAATATAATTAATAAAACCAAAATAAAATGTTCTAGTCTGTCAAAATTTGAATCTAATCGTTAGTCCCTTCTATTTGAATTCAGTAATCTGCGTTAGTGGTGGGTAGTTACAAATATACACTTATCTATGGTTACAAACAAATGACAATGAGCAAAGCAAAGCGTGTCGAAAAAGAAACGAAAAAAATACATCACTATATTAGTTATATACGTTAGTACTCTTATTAGTTTGTGACTATATTTAAGGTTACAAGTGTGAAGAAAATTTTACCCCACAACTAGTTATAAAATGAGAAATGAGTACGTAAAGAAGGCCTGAAAAGGACCGGGCACGTTCCAGCCTGTAGATACTAAAATTTCAAAATAAAAAATCTCATTTTATAGATCTCAATAAGCCCTTTCGACCTACGTTAATTAATTTATAAGCCCCTTTTTCGTTTTCCCAGGAAAAATAGAAATATAATTTTCAATTTTCCTCTACTTAAAATAGCCATATCTCTTTGAAAAACATAGACAAAGAAACCTATGGACAAATTCACACCTTCTTTCGCATTCGCACACGAAAAAGATAGATTTATGCATACGTCTTGCATAGAAATGAGATAGAGCGGTGTGATGGTTTGTCCCTTTCTCCGTGTCGGTTTTTTAGCAAACTGTAGAGTTTGCTAAACAACTTTAACAGCGTAGCGATTTAAGGAGTTTACAAGTTGTTTTAAGTGAGAAAAAAGTGTTTTGTGAGCTTAAGATTGGTGAATCTTGTTCAGTTCAGTTCTTAGAACAATTAAAATTTTTATCTAAATGTGTTTAAAAGTCATAAAGATTATTATATAACCTAAAAATTCGTTATCGTCCTTTCTCACTCGAGGCCACGCCGATCATTAGTCTATAAGTTTCTCTGTCTACGTTGAAAAATGATTACTTTTTACTCTACCAAGCGTGAAAAAATTGCCCTTGCGCTAATTTAATTTGCCCGAGTGCTAATTCTTAAAAATATTAAATAATTATTATTGTAAACAATAAAAGACCGTCGTGGCATTTCCAAGCCAATTATTTGCGAATTGCGCATGCGCGACAGAATAAAGGTGAAACTCACATCATCAACTGTGTCAGTGTAGCATCAGCCGATCTGCAGTTTATTTTGACATTTTAATATCTGCAGGCTGGAACGTACCCGGTCTGAAAAGGGTCACTGCTATTACCGATTATCATCGACAGATATAATAATGACACGACAGGATAATGTAACAAACGAGCACACAGTCCACCTGATGGTAAGTGGGTGATGTGCCCATAAACATCTACATCTATCCTCGATTACGAATCAAAATGCAGATGCGTTGTCAGCCATGAGGACTAAGATGGAATGCCCAGTTTCCAAAAAAAGGGTCTCCGGTTCTCTACACTCACCATGCGAAACACAGCAGCATTGAGCTACTATTTTACGCTGGCATTCCGTGAGAGCGTGGTCCATCTCCGGTCGATCCAAGCCCTTCATGCTACAACTATACTACTAATATAACTGCAGCACGAATCTACCACGCTATAGGCATGCGACGCGGAGGGGAAGACATGCTGCCAAGCTCAAATAAATTGCGATGAGGGCAGAAGGGTGAGGATGTATTATGATGATTTAATTCTAAAAAACCTCTCGAACCCGCCACCGTATTACGGTGGACTGTACCTTAGACCATTCAACCCAATGGGCGAGTAACGGGTCTAATGCTACGAACAAAAAATTCTGTCACTTTTGATGCGGGGGAGGAAACACTACATAGACAGTATTGCACACCTAGTTAATAAAATTTAGTGTCATTATGGCACACACAAATCTAAATCTCAAACACTATTACATTTTACAAACACACTTAAGTTTAATACATCAACATGGAAAAAGTTATGAGTGTTAGGCCGGTTTTAGAGCTCGACCGACCGTCAGTGCGTACCATCGGTCCTGACGATACGCATAACCGATCGTCAGTTTGTAGCGTTCAGAGCTTTCCTGAGCAACGAAACTGGCCGGGCTGGTACAGTCACAAACACGTACACGAAATGGACGCGTTAATTGATTAATTGCTGCTTACTACGTTCGTAAACGTATGAGGAACAGAAGACGTAGATGTCAGGTTCACCCAATCGTCGCCCAAAGAGCACTCTAAGGGGAATTTACTACTTTATATTCATTATTGCGCGAAGATGAAGAAACATTTTTAATTACTTTAGAATGTCAATCAAAAGGTTTAATGAATTGTCAGTGAAATTACAAGACAACTTATAACATCAGCGAGGTGTTCGGTGTCAACACGTAGACAGAGAAACCTATAGACTAATGATCGGCGTGGCCTCGAGTGAGAAAGGACGATAACGAATTTTTAGGTTATACAATAATCTTTATGACTTTTAAACACATTTAGATAAAAATTTTAATTGTTCTAAGAATTGAACTGAACAAGATTCACCAATCTAAACCTCACAAAACACTTTTTTTCTCACTTAAACCAACTTGTAAGCTCCTTAAATCGCTACGCTGTCAAAGTTGTTTAGCAAAGTGTAGAGTTTGCTAAACAAAAAAACCGGCACGGAGAAAGGGACAAACAATCACACCGCTCTGTCTCATTTCTATGCAAGACGTATGCATAAATCTATCTTTTTCGTGGGTGAATGCGAAAGAAGGTGTCAATTTGTCTATAGGTTTCTCTGTCTACGTGTCGACATATGCCATGTTTGATAAAAATTACTTAAATCACTAGCACTACTTAATAACTATAAAATCATACAATATTATAAAAGTTTAGGTTTGATTTTCTTGACGATGATACACGCATCCGTACGGTTGGTGTAGCACTGAACGCGTCAATATGTTTCCATAGCGCGTCGGTCGACCGACGGTACGCATGCGGACGCGCTCGACCGACGGTACCCGTACGCAGTGCGTGGAATGGAACAAATGCTATATACTAAACAATGCTATATACGCGTGCGTACGGTCGGTCGAGCACTGTAACAAAATATTTCATATGGATAGTTTCCTTAAGAAAAAGAGAAAAACTCAAAAGCATTAGCAAAATGCACTCAAACAATTAAAATCATATTTTTAGTTGGTCAGC